ATCCATCCATCCATCCATCCATCCATCCATCCATCCATCCATCCATCCATCCATCCATCCATCCATCCATCCATCCATCCATCCATCCATCCATCCATCCATCCATCCATCCATCCATCCATCCATTCATCCACTTTGACCTTGGTTGTCCTCAGGTTGTTTCTGTGAGTAACAAGTTGGCCATCTGGCCTAAAACATTTGTTTGTTGTACATGATGATTGATTGTTTTGGATGGGTGTGTTTTGCACGTGTTAAAAGCCTGCTTTTGAGATTCCAACAGGCAGTTGTCTTGAAACACAGCAGTGAAGGCTACCTATGGGACAGATCTGGTTGGCAGGCTGTTGACTGAGGAAGTCCTCGGGATGGGGGATGAAATGTTTCTCACTTAAAGAAACTGGTTCAGTTGACACAATTTAACAATTTTTGTTGTTATCTAACGGATGATTGAGCTTACAAACCTTATTCATTGACGTGTTTGCCAGGTAGACAACATGCAGAAACTTAACTAACAAGAACACCGACTGAACATCTGACATGCATTCACCATAATTACCCAATAATAAAGTCCAAAAGTAAAAATAATAATGACCACATAGAGAAATATGCAATAGTCGGATGTTGTCATGGAAACATAAACAAAAACTCTGACGTTGGCATTAAAGATTTTTAAAGCTCTCATTTCGGTGGATGAATAATTGTAAGAAACTGTCAATGTACATGGAATATGGGTGTAGTTTCCTCAATCTTAAGATTGTTTAGAATCTTGTTGAAGATAGTTTAATTTGGCTTGGATTACTTTTTGTGGTCATTGAACAATTGTCAATGCTGCATGGTCTGGAGACAGTGGCGTTGACAAAAAGACAGGAGAAAGAACTGGAAGTAGCAGAAATGAAGATGTTGAGGTTCTCCTTAGGAGTGACAAGGATGGATAAGATTAGGAATGAGATCATCAGAGGTACAGCACAGGTTGAACAACTGGGAGATAATGTTAGAGAGGACACACTGAGATGGTTTGGACATGTCATGAAAATTGTGGAGTCTCAGTTGAAACAGTTTTTGGGGGATCACGCTATCCTAGAGTTATTCCAATCTGGCTTCAAATCTCTCCATAGCACTGAAACTGCTCTACTGAAGGTTTTTAATGACATTTTCATATCCACAGACGCAGGTGATTCTGTGCTGCTTGTCCTATTGGACCTTACATCTGCTTTTGACACCATCGACCACAACATCCTCATTTCTAGACTGGAGCAGTGGGTGGGCATCACAGGGTCAGCCCTTAAATGGTTTGGGTCCTACCTCTCTGACAGAACCTTCTGTGTCAATATCAAAGATTTCAGTTCGGCATCGACAGCGCTCCAGTGGGGGGTACCACAGCGGTCCATCCTCGGTCCCCTTCTCTTTTCTTTATACCTGCTGCCACTAGGTGCTATTTTCCGCAAACACAACATACCCATTCATTTCTACGCCGATGATTGCCAAATTTACTTCCCCCTGAGGCACAGAGGCACACGCTCTATTCAGCCTCTTCTTGACTGCCTGGCTGACATCCGGGACTGGATGGCTTTAAACTTCTTAAGCTTCAATGAGAAGAAGTCTGAAGTCATGCTGTTCCATCCCAGTGGCTCACTCATGAACCATGACATTGACATTTTCTCTCTAGCCCCGCTAGAGAAACAAAAGGTCACTAATCTGGGGGTGATAATGGACCCGTCCTTAAAACTCAACAGTCACGTAAACATGATGGTCAAATCCTGTTTTTTTCAGCTGAGACGGCTGTCTAAGCTGAAGCCTATACTCTCCAAAAAGAACCTTGAGACAGTGATCCACGCCTTCATAACATCTAGGCTTGATTACTGCAATTCACTTCTGTTTGGAATCAGTCAGTCCTCCATTGCTCATCTACAACTGGTCCAAAATGCTGCAGCCCAATTTTTAACTGGTACAGGCTATAGAGAGCACATCACGATAGTTTTGGCCTCCCTGCACTGGCTACCCATTCACCTTCAGATCCATTTCAAAATTCTCATGTATGTTTTTAAATCACTGAACAGTTCCACCCCATCCTATCTCACTGATCTTCTGCAGCCATATGTCCCACTGCGCTCTCTGAGGTCAGCAGACCAGATGCTTCTCTCAGTCCCAGAAACCCGTTGTAAGCTCAGAGGTGACAGGGCTTTCTCTGTTGCAGGTCCACGACTGTGGAATGAGTTGCCACTGAGTGTCCGGCAGGCTCCCACACTCTCAGTCTTTAAGTCTCGCTTGAAGACCCACTTCTATTCGCTTGCCTTTAACACAGTGTGATTTGTTTTGGTCCTGTCTGTACTCTACACTGTTGGCCATTTTAGTTAGCTTCTGCTGCTATTTGTTTCTGTATTTTTATTTTATGTTTTCCTGTGCATGTTTGTTTTCTTTTGTACAGCACTTTGGTTGACCTTGTTGCTGTTTTAAGTGCTCTATAAATAAATTGGTATGGTATGGTATGGTATGTCCAGAGGAGGGACAGTGGGTATATTGGTAAAAGGTTGTTAGAAATGCAGCTGCCAGGAAAAAGACAAAGAGGAGATATATGGATGTGTATTTACTTTCATATGTATTTTACTTTATGTTTTTGAGTGGCACTAGATGCATTTTTTACGCTTTTTATCCGTCTTAACTGTAAAGCACTTTGGTCAGCTGTTGTTTTTATGTGCTATATGAATAAATTGACATTGACATGGATGCAGTTAGAGAGGACATGGAGGTAGTTGGAGTCTGGACAGAGGATGCAGAGGACAGAGTGAGATGGAGGAGGATGACTTGTTGTGGAGACCCCTGTAGAGGGAAAAGCCGAAAGAAAAAGAATTGTCACTGCTCTGTAGCAGTTTTACAAGATTTTAAAGCTCAAAATAGATACAGCATGTTAAGAAATATTATTTTTCCTAAATTGACCTGGGGGGTCCCAAACCTCCCTGACACCCCCTGACACCCCCCCCCCACCCCCAGATTTCTGCCTTAGACAGATGCAGGCAAAAATATTATTAAGTTTCAAACTTGAAAAAAATTAAAGTAGGTTAACTGTCATAGTTTTTATTCTTCTTCTTCTTTTTTCAGCTTTTCCTTCTTCAGGGGTCGCCACAGCGAGTCATCCTCCTCCACCTCGCTCTGTCCTCTGCATCATCTGTCCTCACTCCAACTACCTTCATGTCATCTCTAACTGCATCCATATATCTCCTCTTTGGCATTCCTTTTTGTCTTTTCTCCTGGCAGCTGCATTTCTAACATCCTTCTTCCAATATACCCATGGTCCCTCCTCTTGACATGTCCAAACCATCTCAGTCTGGCCTCCCTAACTTTATCTCCCAGTTGTTCAACCTGTGCTGTAACTCTGATGATCTCATTCCTAATCTTATCCAGCCTTGTCACTCCGGATGAGAACCTTAGCATCTTCATTTCTGCCACTTCCAGTTCTTTCTCCTGTCTTTTTGTCAGTGCCACTGTCTCTAGACCATACAATATAGCTGGTCTCACCACTGTCTTGTAAACTTTTCCTTTGACATTTGCTGACACCCTTTTGTCACAAATCACTCCTGAAACTTTTCTCCATTCACTCCATCCTGCCTGGACTCTCTTTTTCACTTCTTTACCACTTTCCCCATTTCCCTGGACAGTGGACCCCAAGTACTTGAAGTCCTGCACCTTTGTGACCTCTGCTTCTTGTAGCCTCACTGTTCCACTGGCCTCCCTCTCATTTACACACATGTACTGTGTCTTACTATGGCTGATTTTCATTCCTCTTCTTTCAAGTGCATACCTCCACGTCTCCAAGTTCTCTTCCACCTGTTCCCTGTTCTCGCCACAGATCACAATGTCATCTGCAAACATCATCGTCCATGGGGATTCTTGCCTGACCTCATCTGTTTGTCGGTCCATCACCAGAGCAAACAAGAAGGGGCTCAGAGCCGATCCTTGATGCAATCCCACATCCACCTTGAAGCTATCTGTCACTCCCACAGCACATCTCACCACTGTCCTGCTGTCCTTATACATGTCCTGTAC